AGTAAAAAGGCAGCCAATGGAATGGAGAAGAGATTTGTAAACACATATCAGATAAAGGGTCCAAAATCTATAAAGAACTTCATCGATCCCAACACCCAAAAGCAAATAATCTATCTAGCAAAAGAAATGGGCAAAAGATGTGAGGTAGAATACTTTTCCAAAGAAGACATCTTAGATGGCTGAATACATCGTTTACGAAAAGACACCACACTCATCATCAGGGAAATACGAATCAAAAACCACAATGAGATACCATGCAGGTCAGAGGTGGCTAAATGAACAACTCAGGAAACACAATGATAAGTTGCAAGAATTCACAGAAAGGGGAACACTTTTTGCACTGTTGGTGGAATGCAAACTGGTGCAGCCACCTGGAAAACGGTATATGAGGTTCCTCAAAAAAACTAAAAATAGAACTACCCTTCAACCCAAAGCACTACTAGGTATTTATCCAAAGGTTACAAAAAATGCTGATTCCAAGGGCACATGCACCTAATGTTTAGAGCAGCACTCATTGGCAATAGCCAAATTATGGAAAGAGTCTAATGTTAACTCCTGACCGATGAATGGATAAAGAAGGTGTGGTGTGTATGTGTATGTATATATATGTATATACATATACATATACACATACATGTATATTGGGAGCATATACAAGGTTAAGAGCATGTATATACATACATACATATTACATACACATATATATGATGAAATACTCTACCTTGGTGATCAAAAAAGAAATCTGAAGTCTGCTATTTGCAACAACATGAGGGAACTAGGGGCCATTATGCTACAAATGAGTCAGGTAGAGAGAGACAATATCATATGATTTCTCATTCATGTGTGTAAATTTAAGATACACAATGATGAACATATAGGGAAGGGGAGGAAAAAGATAGAAATGAGAGGGATGGAAGCCATAAGAGACTCTAATACAGAGAGCAAAACTGAGGTTGCTGAGGGGGAGGGTGGGGTGGGTAGGGGGATACAAAATGGGGGATGGACATTAAGGCGGACACTTGGGATGAGCACTGGTGTTATATGTGTAAGTGATGAATCACTGAATTCTCTCAAA